CCATCCCCCAATCTCACGTGAGATTTTTCAAAATGTGGGTTTCTTACTTAAATGCGTTGGATTGTTATTGTTAAAAGAAAGAAAAAAATGCTTCGTGCTTTTATTTACGACTAGTTAAGACTAGTAATCAATATTGCTGAGAGTTATTTCTTTCGAACGAAATAGTGAATGATCTTAATCGTATTACGATTACGCTTAAGAATAAATTTTAAGCATGTACAATCTGGATTAAATGGACCAAAATAGTATATTTTTTTTTGTTTCAATCAGAAAAAAAATTGCGTGATATTTGACTCGACCCCCTCTCTCCAACGTAAAATTAGATGAGATTTGACTCGACCCCCTCCCCCCCTTAAACATCTCACATAATTTATGGACGCCCCCTAAATAAGTACCTACGTAGCGTAGTTAGGTCGGCGTGAAATTAAAACGACCTTCGCTAATATCGATGGACATTCACAAGTGCTTTATGTAGATTTAACACTGTAAAATTTAGGGTTTCGTACCTTACAAGGACAAAATAAATCATCAAAGGATGGAAAGGATCACTTCACTTGGTTAACAAACGTTTCCCTGTGTAGATTCCGTTTCTAAAGAATGCCTGGAGAAAGAGGTAATTAACATGAATTAAAAAGATATTCATGTCTTCCGTTCTTTAGAACTGTGAAAAATTAAACTCCTAAGTTAAATCAACGTAATCAAAAAGTCATTTGTGTTGTATTTATGGACATATTTCGGAATCAAAATGAATGAGCTATTGTATTTCCCGTTGAATTTGGCAAGAAGCACGGCAATCAATATGAACCAAAAATAATTTTTAGGCATCAATTGTTTATAGGGGAAATGTAAAGTATCTCAATGTCGACTACTTCAGGAAAATGACTAAACTTGTTAGTAAAAAAGCTGTTCCGAGGAAAAAGCATTACTTAATTACAGATTGTTTGTCACATCAATCACGAATTAATTTTATATAAACCAGGAACGTTTCGATACATAAATATTTCAATGGTCTGGAATTTTTGAAATGTAATGAGCTTACAAAATTAATTTTGTTGTCCTAAGTGCCGTGGCTCAGGGCAGGACCTGCATTTAAAGTCACTTAGATAAGCAGCGTCTAGTACCTAATTGAACTTTGTGGTCGTGTGTTGAGCTACCTACTACGGTTAAGGGCAGTGTAGTCATTCCAATGTTCAGTTATTGTTGCAGGCATTTAGATTGATCACAATTCACAAGCTCGTGAGTCAGAGGTTATCGCTTAGTTTAATTCAGTATTGATAATGGACTATACTATTATAGCCAGTAACCTTTAGGCATTATTACAATGCCAAACATAGAATGATCAATGATCGTGAGTACTATTTCTTTGCTATAGTTTTATGTGTTACTGCTAATCATTGTAAGGTTCTATTGTTTTACAAAACAAAATGCAAGATGAAAAAAAACCGAGCAACTGACGATATCGACATTGATTGAGTACCTTAGTTAGAGAGTGAGGATACTTTCGATAGCTCCGTATTAAAGCGGCTTAAAATTGTATCAAGCAAGTAGAGACTATAACAACCTAGAACGTTTATTAGTGATATTGATAGGGGAAAAGTCCACCCCAATGCATTGAACATTACGTATGCACATCCAACAACCAACGGAGTTTTCTCTCCGTTTTTTTCTAATTCGTCCCGAATTTCCGTTACATTAGAATTCTTACTCTGGAAGATATGGTGAACCTTCTTGTCCTGGCCTATGGATATGTGTAAATATTTGCTGTAAATTGTGTTATTAGTAAGTTGACGAGCTTATCCCTCCGTAATTATAGCGATGATGGAAATTAAGAAGCCATCTGCAGTACGTCACCAAATCCTGGTATAATAAAAAATCTAACTTTTTCGAATGGAGTCAATCAAGATCCTTAATAATGAACGGAACGAAGTGATGAGTCCATCTCATTTAAACTCTTCTTAAATAAATTGTTGGCCACCCATCCAATGACCAATCACTGCAAAAGTTGCTAACCACTTCCGCTATCGAGCTCCTCGAGCGGATTGAGTGATACCACTCTATATTCCAAACTTATGAATATCTTAATGTGTTTTTATATCTTGTCGTTTTCAGATCTGATATTTTTTTGATTGAAATTTCATAAACCTCCCAAGTGTCAACGAGTGTGTACCGACTAAGATATTAATACCTTTTAATAATAAGTTACAAGTATGTTATCATAATGATCATTGTGCGAGTGCAGCCAGGATGCGGATCTCGCTTAGCCAGTCACTTCTCCAAGGTTCGCCCGTATTCGACACACGAACGATCCAGCCTTTCTAAAATACTTTATTTTGTGTCCGTTTCTCGACAGTGGTCCATTCGCATGAGTATTAGCCATAGCATAAATGTGCGTATCTATAGTCAACGTTTGTAATGGCTAATGAAATTTGCAGGCTATTTAAATTAAAACCATGAAATGTATGATATTTTCATCGTAATCTTTTTGAAAGCCCAACTTTTTTATGGTAAGGCCACCAGTGCGTATCGATGACTTAGTCCCTACGTGTCTCTTTTTGGCTTTCATAGCAATCTTCTTAGTTATCGTATCACAAATAGGCGCTAAGTCTACAACTTAAGTCTATGGGCGACGGTGATCACTAACCATCAGGATCAGGAGAGCAGTCTGCTCGTATGCCGCTAATAATACAAAATATATAACAAAAAAGATTTAGAAACAGGTTAAGGGTGTACTTAGGAGTTTATTTGAGATTTAAATAAAAAGAGATCTTTCAATTAGTTTAAAAATACCTTATGGATATTGACGATATAATGTAATGACTGGGTGCCTTATCGTTGCCAAAAGGTACCCTGTACCAGAACATAACAGAATAGTGAATGTGTGCTCCAGATATAAATACCACGTTGCGTTGCGAAGTGGACCTACATTAATCACACGCATTTAAAAAAAAAAAAGATGTCTAACATCTCAATGCAATGTTATGTTAAGCTTTTAAGCAAGATGAGGCAAGTCTTAGGTATGCGGATTTATTATGCTCCACTTCACTAATTACGTTTAAAACCAAATCAAGTAACCGTCAAAATAAAATATCGCTTGATAGGTTCGTTATGTGTTTTTAGGTATGCCATTGGAAATGTAATAAATCTACAGGGAATAATCTACTTGAAAATACTATATTTTAAGCAATTATTTCGTCTAAGTCGCTTTTAATGCTTTCTTTTAAGGAATTTTTATAAGGTCAGAAATTTTCAAGTTGAAGGACTATTACTCTTAGGCCCGTATTATAGAAAGATTCTCAGTAATTAATCTAGTCTTGAGCATAGATAGAAAGGGATATATAGCACATACCGACATCCCTTTCTAACTGTACTCAAGTAAAGATCAACACTTATAGTTGCCATTCTGTAATACGAGCCTTTAAACCAAAAAAATCTCCCTTAACCGCTATAATTTTCCTTAAAAGTTCGTGAAAAGCACAATAATCATGACTTTTTTCAGATTTTCAAGCTACTAGTTTAGCTTTTAGAGGGGGGGGGGGGGGGAACTCCTCTTAGGTATTCGTTAATTATCGATTATTATATATGATATTATCGATTATTATTATGATATCGAGCATTATTTATCGATCCTACTGCGTCATTTGAAAATAGCGTTATAAATAAACAACTAAGCTCTACTGCTCCACTAGGCAGTGGTGGTCTTTACTGTGTCGTGATCAAAGTACTCTACCATTTTGTAGGCCAGCAATGGCCATTTAAATGATCTCATTTCTCATCATAAGGACAAGACGTTACGTATTAAAATGCGTTACACGCATGCACGTCGCAATATTGGTCGCAGAGAATCATTTTAAGCTAGAGATAAGCAACCAATGAAATAAACCAACAGATTGTAAGATAATGTGAACAGATTCATTAATTAGTTTGGCTAACGAATATAATTTTGATACGGTTTTTCGGGGCGATTAAAAGCACAATTATCGTAAATGTCCATAAATTATATTAAAATCTAAGTAAATACATATTAGGTTTGGTAAGGAATGCATTGTTTGACTGACTAAGACTTGCTTAAAGCTAAACGTAATAGACAACAATTTACCTATGTTTAGATTTCTAAATGATAAACATTCGCCGAGTTTCGAAGCGATTGAGATTTATGCAGCCATTATAGTAAAAGGAACGCGAGCGTGAAAGTTGCCTAAGCTCAATATTCTTAGCCCTACTATCGAAGTTACTAAACCGATTAATGTTCTTGTAATTAGATTCATACTTACTCTGACAATGCAAAGGTTTATCATTAGTAAAAAGCCTAATGGACGGCAGGTGTTCGTTTGCTTTGATTGTAATTGCCAGCAATGTACATACCAAATAAAGACTTCACGAACCACATGTTGACCTTACATTTTCGTAATGTCCTACATAAGTTTAATAAGTTCGTTAATAATGAGTTGACATTACGTTTACCCCTAAAGATGCATCTTAATTATACTTATACCTACCATATTTGTAATAACCAGCCATAGGTATTTACTTAAAAGCTATAGGTACTTACTTACTTTTCCAAAAGGCACCATCTACCTATACTAAGTGGCTCAACCTATACGATTTAGTTTTAACTTTATGATGACGTCATTTTCTCATTATTTAGACTCGAGGTAAGAGCAGCAATTAATTTGGAGCAAATATTATTGAAGGTTGTTGCATGCTACCTCATTAAGTTTTCACCGTTACCTAAGTATTATAATAGTGACCTAACCATAATTAATAAGTATTATGAATAAATAGGTATTTAAACATATTAATTAAGAAGTAACAAATGAATCAAAAATATTTATGTTACATTATTAAATAATTAATTTAATTTAATTAATTGTAAATCACATAAAAGTAAAAAAGTAGTTGTTAAAGCATTTTCTTAGTACATAGTCTTAAGTATGCCAGGCCCACTGCATAATGCATAGGATAAAGGATGAAATTCTAAACAATCTTTCTTATTGTTTCAGTTATTCCGACAGTTACATCGATTACAGTGTCATCTAATGGCAATAGTCCCGAAATTAAAATGATCGGGGGAATGATGGTAGATGTTCAAAAAGGATTTACTCCCATTGTGCCGAAAATAGAAGGCAATACAAAAGTGAATTTGAGAAAAAAGAAACTAAACAGTAACTCCACCAAGTTATCTATTAACGAAAGATATAGAAGGTTAATACCTTACATGACGTTTTACTACGCCAATGATATGGTATCATCGACCACCGAAAGCGCTAAAAATGTAGAAGTTGAAAAGGCAGAAATCATTGAAGCAAAAACTATACAGCACCAATCAGAAGAACGCCAGCCTAAGAAGATATTCTACAATTCTAATAGAAATATACCACTTTACCAGGGAAATAGACTGACGCAATACAATATCGCATCCGCAAATCCTACAAAGTATTTTTATAAAGGTATTGCGCCAACGCCGCAAACATATAAGAGCCCCAATTACAGCCCTTTGTTAACAGATCTTCGAGGGTTGCCAAATAACGATTTCGAATATGAAAGGATAGTCCATAAACCAATACTTAAGGCGCCAAGCGTACCATTTTCACCACCAACAAGAAAACCGTATTTAAATCTTTATCAAAACGAAGACTCGGGGACTATTCAATATTACATTCCCGAAAAAGATAATACGCCAAAGTATAAGTTGGTGCCATATCAACAAACGCCTCCTGTGAAAGTCACACTCCAAGCAGAAAATATTTATCATGTGGCCAAGCCTCCTCCATCAGTTCCTGTCCAAATACCAAAGGAACAAATCTTCATAAAGCCAAGACCTGCCCGACCTATTTATTTTTATGATAATATTAATGTTCCTCAGGCACCAGCTGGCAGAAAGCAACCCTCGATTGTATCAGAAAGTTACTACGAGAAGCAGCGTCCACACAACTCAATAGTTCAACCAGTTATTGAGAGCGGATTCAGGCCAATTGTCAGGATGCCTATTCACCCCACCGAATCCTCACTTTACGAATCGTCTTTGTCGGTTACAGCAATACCCCAATTTGAGTCTGAAAAGCAACAGAAAGTTGCTGTACTTGGGAACCCCACAGACAGACCTGAAGAAGGAGTCTTGAATCCGAATTATTTTGAGTACCTTGCTGATCAACCTACTCACAAACCCCCATATGCGCAATCAAACACTGTCACTCTAGCAGATCTACTAAATTCATTACAAATAAATAAATCCATTCCAAAACCGATAACTAGAGAGAATGTGGGAGCGTCTATAAGGACATTATTGCAAGTTTTAAATACTTTGAAAGCATTGCCTCAAGAAGGCGAAGAAGAAACCCCAGTATTGAGTACACCTAAACCGTTCATAGGGAGTAAAGCGGCAGAAGTAACAACAAAACCGGAAGTTTCGACTCCAATATCAGTTGTAACTGAGGATCCATATTTTCACGATGAACCATATCTTGCTCCAGTAAATACTCCTTCACAACATATTGATGGTAAGTAGGCGCATTTAGAAAACGGCAAATTTTTTGTGTTTTGCATCCATAGAGTGCTGGGATAACCCATTAACATGCCACTGTTGTTGCGCCCGTTCGTCAATGGGCTGCATTTTCATTACCGTCACTTTATCTTCTCTTAATTAATATCCCCATTGCTGTAGTACAACAACGCGGGCATTCACTATTAGGTATTTAATAAATGAGAAACCTATAAAAGTATTTTGTCGATGATCAAATTTAAAATGTTAATTCTAAATACTGAACTTAGGTAAAGATATTATTTTAAGATCTTAACGATTTTTGACGTGACAACGTCTTAAATTAGGTTGCGGCTGGGAGTCACTTATGAAAAAGTGTAACGCTCGGTAACGTTACGATGAGTCTCTCGTGTTAAGTTTAAGTTTACATGTACAATGTTTTAGTAAACAAAATATATTTCTATAGTTAAAATTTGTGCAATTCTTATTTTCATTCAATTCCTTGTTCCTATTGTGCAATTTAATTATATTCATATCAATAAATATTCTACCGAGAAAAAGACGTTGTCACGTAAAATCTTCGCCCGTAAAACCGACTTTACAGGCAACCATTTTTTCCCCCTAGATTTCCCAACAAGTATAACTTCCAGTCAGCGTTTCCCATTGCCAATAACATCTGATGATGAAGGCGGTACACCAGGGCAACCAGGCGTCGACTATCCCATCCTCACCACTATCCCACAGACGGCTTTCAACTGTAAAACTCAACGTTATAAAGGATTCTTTGCTGATCCGGAAACCAGATGTCAGGTGAGTTACAAGTATTCTGCTTAACTTAACAATTGAGATTTCGGAATCATTTGCGTGCAATGTAATGTAACAAAGACTTGAATATTATTTTCTTTTAGATTTTGAACTTATAAAATAACAATATAAATTTCATAGGTATATACAGATATACCTATGAAGTAATAAAATACTATTAATATCATTTTCAAATCTAAAGTTTGAAATACAAATCACAAACTTACCTTGAGACATTTTGTCACGATAACAGAGGCGAAAGCGTTCGCAGTGACCGTTATTTTTTATTTATTAGCACGTGCTTTAGGTCCTTATTCAGTGATTAATGTAGTACCTATATCTATTTTTCCCTTCCTATTCCAGGTGTGGCACTACTGCGATCTGAACGGCGGCCAGGCGTCGTTCCTATGCCCCAACGGCACCATCTTCTCGCAGGCAGGACTTACGTGCGACTGGTGGTTTAACGTGCGCTGCGCGTCAACTGCACAGCTGTACGTTCTCAACGAGAGCCTCTACAAGTACATATTGCCCCACTCGCCCAAGTTCCCAGAAGACTACAGTGGACCGTTGGTAGACAAGTGAGTATTGCATTAGTAAATATGTAGTAGGTAGTGTTTAATACCTGAGGCCGAAGCACGAGTTTTGGACAGCTCCGTAAAGTATTGTAATCGTGTATGGAAAAAGCTAGTTTGTTCTTACGTCCGACAGGAGAGCAGCTTAGTTTTCATAGAAACTTTGACGATGCGGAACGTTACGGAACTATTTTGAAAACTCGTGATTGGGCCCTGTACTTGGGTGAACTACATGGTATTGACTGGCTGGGCAATTATTCGCACAACACATACGAAAATTTTGTATCTCTCTTCAGATATCTCACGCTGAAGTTCAAAGAAATGGAAGAACAATTTAAGAAAAACAAAAACAAGCAAAGTGCTTCCGAAAAGATGGATTCAGACGAAACGGAGAGTTCCACTGAAGATTCGAGTGAAGTAGAAACGTCGAGCGAGCAGGCGCCGGTGGATAAGAATGCAGTCAGCGAAGCGAGCGTTATAGTTGGAACACCCGGGACCAGCGGCAATGTAGAAAGATTGCAGGATTAGAATATAAGTAGACAGGGGCGCTTTAAATTTTTAAGTTCAAGCAAGTTTTCACGCGGTGTAGTAGTTGGATTGTGGCGAGGGTTGCAATATTGTTGCAGACCGTTTCTCCTAAATGAGGGCCAGTGAGCACCGCCACCGCCGCCGCAGTGCGAATGTCGTAATTCGCAACAGTTAATATAGCCATGGACCAATAAGACTATGATTAGTGCGTTTCCATATAAATGAAGCCGCAAGCTCATCAGCTTGGAGGTTCTCTTATCTTCTTGATTAGATGTAGCTTGACCTATACCATGTTAAGAGAACTTTCACACTTTCACCTGTTCTTTTATTGTTTGTATTGAGAAAACATTCAGAACCGGTACCCACCATATCTATCGCACCACTGCTATAAAACTGGTAATTTTTTTAAGTTTTAGTGGTATAAAGCTAGAGTATTCAACGTGTTAAGTGAGTCTTAAAATTGACCGCAAATATATCGCAATAGGAACAACAGTTGCTCTTTAGTGTTTGGTTGGTCAAGTTAGTAAAAAATCGGACTCGCATACACGTGCATATTTCAGCGCGTTCGCTCGAACCGGTAGTGTTCTCCAGCGGCTCACGATTATACGAGCTTACAAGCGCGTCAACGCTCGTACCAGTTGCGCGTGTGGCAAAAGTTGCGCCTATCCGCGCTTCCAAAATAGAACTTATACGCGCGTATAAAACGCTGGTCTGAAACCATCCTCATAGTGCGCTCCTTTTTTCATTACATGAGTAGGTAGGTAATCCTTAAGCCCGATTTACACTTGGTCGTTAGCCTGTATTCGAGTGTACGAAAGACATTACTCGAATTCGGGCACCCTATGCAATATTTACATTGTTTTTACCCGAACACAGTCTGAAAGACGGCGTCGGGTAAACAAGACGAAAACTGTTCGAATACTTGATTTGTCCAAATTCGATAGGCAATCGTATTCGGGTTAACGAACAAGTCTAATTGCGACATAGTTACACAAGTTCCCAGTAATTTAAAACTCGAATTGAGTACACAAATTCATTCATCATTACTGGATCAATATATTTAGATATAAACTTTTATACTGTTAATACCTACATAGGTACCTATTATTTTTGATATTCTTAAGCTTCTTATGTTTTTGGTTAGGTACTAGCTTTTTACATTTTGTTTTGTGTTACAAATTTTAGTTTAAGTTACTTCTAGGCTTATTTTAATAGATATATTAAACGATTAAAAACATGATGTGTAGATCTGTGATAGCTATTTACTGCTGCAGTTGTGTTCAAAATCAAGGTGTATCTGCTTCAATAATAGAAAATAATGAGTGTTACTAGTTTTAACTACTATGTCGGTAAACGGATTTTTTTATAAAACAAAGTCCCACACAGAAATAATGCGCTTACCACACGCACAAGCTTCACCACAGTTTGGCCTGCGCAAGCATCTCGCACGAAAAAACTGTACACTTTGTGCGTTACCACACGGCACAGTTAAGTACGCGCAAGCCACATTCGTATCGAAATCATTGGCGTGGAAACAATGTTTCCTAATGAAGAAACATTTCTTATGCTACTATTTTTCAAATGTATGCTATTAAAAAAACATGTAAAAACAATAGGATATGTACATAATATGTGCAAGTAGGTAGGTAGTAGGTATTAGGCATAGGTATTTAGTTGCAAAAATTATGTTCTTACCTCTTTCATTTTATTTATCATTCTTTCGTAGGCGTCGTTCTTTTTATTTCGGTCTGAATAATCGTTACATTTAATTTTCCAGAGTGCAGGCAGAGATTTGTATAAACTAATAAATTCAGACGTGAATTCGCGATTGTACGTACGCAAATCTGCCATTTTGGAGTGACGATGACGAACGACCTCATGAAACGACGAGCGAGCCTCGACACAAAGTACACTCGACTGTGGCTTGAACACTGAACGCCCAACCACACGCACAGACAAGTACACGCAGGCCGGGCTTGCGCAGGCAAAATTTCAAGTAAGTCGAAAAATGCGCAGGCCGCGCTGTGGGGTTGGCGCGTGATACAGTTTTACCAACTACACGCACCGTGTTCCGTGTACAAACCGGCCTGCGCAGGCAAAACTGTGGTGAAGCTCGTGCGTGTGGTAGGCCCATAATAGAAATCTACGTAAAAACATTATCGTTTATATTGCTAGTTGACAAAAATATCCCACTCGTTGCCAGTGTTAAAGAATTTGATAAGTTTGTTCTATTTAAAAATCTAGCAGTTACAAAACAACTCTGTCCTATATGTGTACTGAAATGAAAGTGGTACTTAGATTATTGTTAAGACTGGTGACGATTCTGTAAATCTTATCCTAAATTAGACAACAGTGTATCCTTGTCATTTTTTATTCAGAATGAAAAGGAGAGACTGACGTTAAATTTAGTTTTAACTCTAGAGAATCAAGTCAGAATCAACACTATTGTTTTGATAAAGCGTCTGCGCTTATGTATTGTATGTACCTTTAAGTACATTGTAATTTAGAAACTGCTTTTGCGAATGTATGATTTTGATTAAATAAGTAAGGAATTAAACTTGCCATATGTTGCCATGTTTAATTCAATAATTACGTATGTTTTGGAACATAATTTAGATACTGAATTAATTTATAATAGAATTTATGATATGATACAATACTCATAGTGATATTCGTGCAATGTGTAAATATAGTTACTCTCTCTGCCATTAAAATTATGAAATTAAGGAATGTGCAATAAATTATTCCATTTAATGTGTTGCATTGTTTTATTTAGCGAATATCATGTGGCCATAAAAGAAACACTTATATCCATTGATTAACCTTAAGTATTGAATTATATACAGTATGAAAAACATCTCGTTTCCTACATGAACGTTTTGGTTTGAAATATAAGTATGTATTAGTATTAGACTTTCAAATGTCATTTATACAGTTACAGAATTTATCTCATACCATAAAAATGAATGTTAAATAAAAGAAACACACGTATTTTATTATAAATATATGTAAGTATAGAAATAAATAAACGGATAAAACTATCTGACTAAAGATCTACGGGTAGTTGTGGTTACAGTGTGTGGTAACAGTTAACGGTCCAATATCGTTTGTCGCACATTCTGAGATTGGGACTCATAAACACCAATAATTTAACTACACAAATATTATCAATTGTTGACATCAATAATATTCATACTTACTTATTTATAGTATACATGACTGAGATTTGGATGTTTTGTAAGATTTATCATAAACTATTTGAATGGATAAGCAATTTCAAAATTATTATACAAACTTGAACCATTAAGCTAAAATGGTACCTAAATTACTTGGTACAATGCAATTTTGCAGATAATACTTATACAAAAATATAATTTTGGGATGAAGAGATTCTTAGATTTAGATAAATTTTACTTTAAAAGTACGTGTTAATGGTTTGTGAACACGCCGTTGTTTCCACGATTACACCTATCTATTTTTATTTACAAATATTTACAGTCAGACACGTCTGCTTTAATTATCGTCGATCACAAGTTGTTGCCATTTCAGTCTTAAGATCACATTCCTTTAATTAAATAGTGATAAATATATTAACACTGTTCATACTTACAGTCGCAAGCGTATACCGTATAATACAGCAATTATAATAGTACTTTTACAGGCATTTTATTAATTATTTTGCCGATAGCATTAAACATTCTTTAATAGTTTATTCAAAACTGAATCGATTCAAAATCGTCCAAAGGGAAAAATCCGATAAAATAACTTGCAAATCAACGACTGAAACACAATTCGAAAATATAGCTTATCTTAAAGTAAAAGTTTGAAGCTTATATTTACTACGAGCGAATTTCCAATGAGTATAATAGCCTACGAGTTCTTCTAAATTACCCTGTTAGTCGAAACAGCAACGTTCAATCACCATAATTTTTATATACTCACCAACGTGGAACTATAAACAAAGGCACAAAAACGTGCGAATAAAACGTATACGTAATACGACATCAAAAATGCAATTTTGTAGTGTGTGGTTTAACGACAGAGCCGAGTCGCGTGGGCAGGGGTCGGGCGGCGTCGGAAGTCGTCGGGCGGTGTCAGGCGGCGTTCGGCCGCCTAGTGTTTGAGCAGAAGGGCCGCGTGCTTGAGCCGCAGATGGGAGCGCAGCGTGTCGATGCGGCTGTAGGTGGCGGGGCAGTAGGGGCACAGCGAGCGCTGCGCCGTGTGCGAGTGGAAATGGTGCCAGCGGTTGGACACCTCCTTGCCGCACGACTTGCAGCGCCACAGCGCCGCGCTCTCCGCCGCCGCCACGAACATGCTGTGGTACGAATACTGCGCGCCCACTCCCACGGGCGCCGCCCTGCGCTCTGCAACCAACCGACACGGCCCACCTGCCTTCAATCGCCACGCGACAATGACCCTTCCCACTTTCACAGTAAAGTCGGGATTTGAATCCGATGCTGAGTCGTATGCGTTCTAGGAATGGAGGTGAACGACTGGAGCTCCTGCCGTGCGACATGATCATATATATAATTATATAGTATGCGACATTGTGAGGTGCGGGGCGTGTGACGCGCACAACTGAAACTACACAGATTTGTAACATACCACAATTTAATGTAAAAATTAGTAATAAATACAACAGATAAATGCAGGAGTTTGCAACATGTTAAAATTGCATTACATAACATCAAACAATGTGAAAAATAAAATTGCATCAACTGCTTGCATAAAACAAAATTATTTAAATTAAACTTTAAAACGGAGGCATCAAACCAAGATAAACAAATATTCATAAACAACATATCGTTCATAAAATTTCATGTATAATAAGTATAACAAGACTAATAAGTCGGCTGTTAGGTATACGATTTGACACCCCCTTCCTATTAGTATTACACTATTGTGATATACGACACTATAACAAATTTGCTAATGTTATAAAGATGAAACAAAATAAACATAACTATTAGACCATTGCTATCCTGAATATAACCATATAGCTAATCCTGCACTCCATTGATTCGAATTGATAAGATCACATCTTTTGTGATACCCTTGTAAATTTTAATATACAATAAATTGGAATATTCATTAGATTGGCCAAATAAGTGACTAGGTCCGCAAGACCCCAATTTCATAAGACTAAATTTAGTAATTCGTTAACCTTATGTATAAATTCCATATGGCATAAAGTTAGCTTTCATTAAGTCCAATTACGTGGTCACCATACAATTATTAAGTTGCACACTTTCTGAAAGCCGAAAAGAGATCAAAGGAAGATATTTTCTGAGCCAAACGATGTGATACTCCAAAATATTCTGGCCAGACACTATCAAGTATCCTAACCTAAAATATCTAAAATAATATTCTATGTTTACTAAACAATTGATTTGCTATAGCAAATTCCATAATTTAAAATTGGTCTCGAGTGATTGTAATATAAAAATGAATTCACACAGTTATGAATTAAGCGTTCGACAGCGGCAGACGAGCGACTGATCTATTCACACTGGACGTGGGCAATGGAACCCTCACTGGATAGCTATGATCTATTCCAACAATAGACTTCAACTTGCGCGACAATAAATTATTAAATAGTACATAACTATTACGATTGGCAGAGGTAAACAAGCTAATCTTAATATTACCAGCTATATAACCTGTACATCGCCGTAACCCAAACTGTTTCACTAGGTAGAAATAGAAATTAGGAGTTCACTTATGTAAATACAAATAGGTAGTTACTCTCATCAAAGACATAATAATATACTTTCTTTTAAAATATCCTTTAGTTTGGTTACGTAATTAAATAACTAGTAATATTGCACTGAGTATGAAATGCTATCAAATAATAAGTGCCCACGTTACAATGAACAATATAAAAATCTTTGACATTCTTAAAATAAATATAAAATCTTTGTGGAATTAGTATAATTATCATTATTATAATAATTATTAGGTGATTTTAAAAATGTTTAAAATTTACAGAGATGCTGAGCTTAGTGCTTACATTATCGAGTGGGCCCCTATATTCAATAGACAATTGTAAAATCTATCTATGAGTTATGACTATTTCAAAAAATTGCACATGTGAAATTGCATGTTCACAGCTACTTAACAGCACTAACGCCATTACATAGTTATGGGACGATCGCGGTATTTGCTATTAGGATGCGTTTGTTTCTAAAACACCATACACGAATCTTTTATATTTGGTAGACAATGATCGGCTTTATTAAAACATTCTTATCGTCCTATAAGTTTTCCTTTTTTTTAATATTATTTACGTTATTAGTAAATTTTGAAGATCTCCGAAGAAAAACATAATAATAATTAAGATAAAATCTCGAGTGATACTGTAATCTCTAGGCGTTTAACGACCCTTGCGTTATGCTACCCGTTGACCAGACAGATGCGACCTTAACTGGATGCTAGATGCCTTACATTTATAATGCAACATAACTAATCATTAAAACATTAATCATATTATAATAGGAGTCGAATCGTAGCGTGTTAACACTCTTGGTTCTAGCACCATTCCATTTTATCACATTTCAGTTACCGTACCACTCTAAAGTGTTTAGCTAAAAATGTAACAATCTTAAATATTAATTGAAAAATACATACATAAACGCTAGGTTAGTCCCAATCGTAGAATGCAAATATTAGTTACTAAATGCGCAACCTCGAAACATCGTTCCATCCTATCTTATAGTAATTGAAAGAGGTCTTTGACCCCAAAGCACCGATCACACGACGAGGGCGGACGCGCGCCCTAACACAAATAAACAACGATAAAATAATAAAACATGTTAACAGTTCAATGTCCATTACTATAAAGGTACGCTTCACTTTTCATGAAAGCCACCAATGATACTACAATTATGATGAATCAATAAAAACAAACAACACTAATAAAATCAAAATATTATAAGTATATAAATATATTAAAAGTATATTAAATCAGACAATAGAATATATCTAAGTATAAAAAAAACAATCTCCGTAAATAGATCCACTACTCTAGTATAAAAATCTTTTCGTATGTTTCCTTAGGCGCTACCCTTTTATTACATCACAAATCCTTAATAAAATTATCCATCGTGCAAAGGCCTCATGGAGTTACAAATGCATCTACTGTGAGATTCAGTCAATATTTATATGTCGTTGACCAACGACAGATCACAATCTCTAGCCAGTCCTCAAATTCATTCCTGATGTAGTTCTGCTTCACCCGTACGATGTACATAATAACATAAATATAATTAGCTACAGGAAACTTATAATTTCCTATCTAATGAATAAATATAACAAGAAAATGTGGGCCCGTATCGGAAGCCACCGTTATAAACAGCATCACTTCGCGGTCGCACCGCTACTCAAATATAATGTATATCATTTAAATAGCTTAAGATTCCTATCGATATAATATAAAAAATAATATGGTAATAAAATTAACATCATATTATTGCTTTTGCCCGTTCCCGTATAGCGATTGGTATAGAAAAAATTTGCTTACCTACTCTCTTAAACGCTTTCGAGTCATCACACACAACATCGACAATAACAGTTCCTGACGCGAGACCGGTCACACTGGGGCAAGTCAACAACGCACAACCGAGACAATACTAAACGAGTCGCCCGCGAGGCGAGCTACTTAAAGATAGGCCCGTTAAGTAATAGCACTTCAGCTTAATCCTAAATAGGAAGCGGTTTCGACGCGAGACGGTCCGTTGCGAAACATTTGACACATGAACATGGGGAGTGAGTGAGTGTTCGCTGGCGTCGGGCGCGGATCGCTCACAGAGCGTCGAGGCCGAGCCAGTACATGGACAATCAGTCGAAGCCCGCGTCCAGGTGGTTGGCGAAGAGCGGCGCGTGCGGCGGCGCCGGCGCCGGCGGCGGGGGCGGCTCGAACTTGCGCGTGTCCGGATTGTACGCGGGGTGTTTGAACTTGCAGTGCGTGCGCAGGTTGTCCGAGCGCGTGTACGTGGCGCGGCACAGGGGGCACTCGAACCGCCCAGGGAAATGCACGTGATAGTGGTTCCGGATGTGTGTCACCACCTTGCCGCACAGCTTGCAGCGGTGCAGGTTGAGCGCGCCCGCCACGCGCTCGAACGTCAGCCGCATGTGCCAGCCCTTCGAGCCTGCAACCAGCCAGCGGTCACTCGCGCGCCACACACCCTCTACCCGACCCCACTATCCACTATCACCCCCCCACCCCCTACCCTCCAACCGAGACGCACTCACTCAATGCCACAGCGCCAACCTACTAATCACTGCATAGAGTGCGATTCAAATTTAATGACGTCTGTGAAGTCGGCGCAAGTCGCAGCCACCGAGCACCCCCACTAGAGACCGCATACAAAGGCACCAACTTGTGCCAAGTGCATTTAGTGTTACTGAATAAGCGTGTAATGAGCCCCCAAACGTAGCGTTACAAGTTTGCACCTAATTTGTAATCTGACCGTGACGTCATACAGACGTGGCCAATCAAAACGGGGCTTAACCCTCCCGCACACTACCGACTTGGCGATTTCGACTTTAATTAAAAAATGGTAGTGCAGACTCTAGTGTTGGTGCTTTGTAGTCGCAGCGCAGTAAAACGAAACGTAAGATGATAAAGACACACTCGGCGTGTCACTGAACTGAACTGCGCGTAGTTTCACTCGCTGTTAACTTCACAACCGACATAAAGTTTGAATCGCACTATACAACTCTACTAGCGCTACCGGCGGCTATGTCGTCTATCAACGACCGGAGGTGGACACGGTTTTGCGTAGTGTTGATGCAGTAATTCCATCAGGAGTTACGCGATATCAAATACTTTTTTATATTCAGAGCACGGTTCTGAGATAACTTTGTTACTACTCCGTTGGTTCTGCAGCATTTGTTATGAAGTGCGAGATCGAAAGGAATATAATTATAAATGTTCTGGCTAAAGAATGTGGATACAACTATTTTATAAATTATTTAGCAAACAAGGCTGGACTCAGACAATATTCAGTTTAGCACTATTCAAAGCGTTCATATTATTAACGCTGTACTATTATGCCTCTCCTAGTACTATTAGATAAAGCATTATAAATCAATATACAAAAGTTTATATAGAAACACAAATTCGAAAAATATTATTAAAAATCAAAATATTTATGGTAGATCCATGCAGAAATGAATCGATGATACTTTGAAGAAATGGTGTTGTTATTTTTGAGTGTTATATTCGCATGACTTTCGTTAAATACTGTCACCAAGCCTGCATAGAGAAGGCGAATCGTAAAGACGAGGTCTGCTATACATAAAGAGAAAAGCATGGAAAGAAGGATGAAAATGAAAAGATAAGTGGTATAAATAAAGGAATATATTTGCAACAAACACACAGTAACGATAAATTTACAATAAAAATAATCGTAATGTTAAAGAAGAAGTAAATGAGAAATAAATTAAAATTATGTTCCTTAATTACAAAAGCGAAATCAGTCTTGACGCTAGTCTGCAACTAGTATCATTTATATATCTACAAGGAACAACAAGAGATCATAGATTAGGCTTTTATAACAACATGTTAGTCGGCTTATCAACATACTGTCGACTAATCAGCGTCTATACATAAAATTTTCACGATTCTAACTATAATAATTCAAATAGAGTGAAGCTTTAAAATATAACATGGTTTGTATTATATTCAATAACACTATCTCTTAGTTAATTGATATTTGAATAATTTGAGATTGATTGATGCTTAGAGTAAAAACCTACACAAGGAGAATATTAATGATGGTACAATATATTTTATATTTGATCCAACTTTTACCATAAAGAGTTAAGTATTTTCATAGCCTTTTAAAAGTACAGAGTACTATTAAAGGCCTCTCTTAGTACTTATTTTAAAATCGATATTAAGTTTGTAGCCGCGAATGAGTTTGCAGAAGTAACAATTGTATGAAACTGTAATTTAACAAAACAAGTGATATGAAGAACTGCAAATATACTAACTACTCAAGATCGGTTGTTTGTTTCATAATATTCCGTTGCTAGACAGGAAAAAAGGTCAGTTAATTTGATATAATAGCATTTATGAAAGTTTTTTTATGTATATACCCATTCTTTTTTTAAAAAATAAAACTGTTCTTATTTGGTGATGTGAATAAGACGCTGATTAATCGATTTAATTTATTTACTTAGCTAATACGAATACCACTTCGTCGGAAGATAGGTACATTTTTAATAAATTTTTAGAATAGGGTAGTAGCCTAAGTTTAAATTTGCATTTAAATTTTTATGCAACAGAATTTTACATGGATATCTATCTGTCTCTGAAATTTATTAAAATTTGTAATAAAATAAAAAGAAGCATTTTTAAATTGATAAATTTAAATATGAAATGGAGGGGGAGTGTGGCGGGAGCAGTTTGCTATCTTCCTCCCACTCGTGGGTGCTTATGGCGACTACGTCACGGCCCCCTAGTATGGCCCTGCTTATTTTTTGTCGTTAACCTTTTATAATTCTATTTGTGAAGACTAAACTTTTTTTATAAAATATTTTAATCGTAGAATTAAGATCTTGTAACCAATAAAAGTGATAAAAAACAAGTCTACTACCCTACTGTATCAATAGCATAATAGTGCCTAGATTTACCATAACTATAGGAAGTAAATACATAATTAACAGTTTCAGGTAAAATTGTGTTGATATGAAAGCGAATATCTAATCTCAGTGAACTCATCAAAAAAACCGATCGTTTGGCAAACATCTATATTAAATACTGTTAGATCACTCGCTTTCATAATATTTGAGTATTCCATTAACACTACTTTGTTATTAAATAATCAAAACTAAATCACACCACACCTTAAATTCTAGTTACAAAATTACTTGTTAGAACCAATGAATAAGCGCACTTCGTTAGATTGCAATATAGTATAAGGAGTTAATATGTTACAAGTTGTTTGGCGTTATTGTTAACAAGCTTAATTAGATTACACACATTTCAAGTTAGTTACGACTTTTGTCATCTAAAATTATGAACGCGGCTATCAATTCATAGTCTGATTTACTTAAGTTACACGAACAATTTTGTCTTTGAAGCCAATAAAATAGCTAACGGTTCTTATTCCCTATTTAACTATAGTATTTGCTAACACTGTGTTTGAATATTTGATAAATTGTTAGATTTTAAAACTGAACAGTGTTTCATACGGAGGTGCCTTTTAAGATTGTCGGCGCGAGTCAGAATAATAGGACACAATGGACATTTATGCTGCTCTGGATTGTGCGATTTCATATGTTTTTTTAGATTATTAACTAATTTGCCACAGACATGGCAAGACTCGGGTATAGTGTATGGTTTTTGATTCAGAGCCATTTTAAACGATTGAACTATGTTATCGATATTCAATACTTTATTTTTCAAGGGGCCTTGGGGTACGCAATTTTCATCAACGCCGTTATTGTCACCTGAAAGACATGTAACTTCGTAATTGATGCCACAGTATTGATCTGGCATGCTTTCTCTGTTAACTGTACTTTCAAACGGATGCAGAACACAAAAAACCTTAAAACCTCTATCACGAACCCTAATAACGTAAACCCACACCTTCCAGTACATGCAAATTTCACTTTGTAATGTTCATTAAAATAACACACACTGGAATCTGAAAGATTTATATTTCTTAAGCTTTTTAGAATTTTTTAAAGTTAAAGAAATAATATATCATAAGGTCGCTCTGGGGGCGCCAAATCATCGTTTGAGCTAGATTACACCAATTTCTTCATAAACTATTAAAATCAAACATAAGACATTTAGAAGCGTTGTGGGGCATGTAAAATGCTAATATTAACGTGAAATAAAAAGCAATGTTAATAGCATGCTGCAGGGTGCTATACATGCAGTATGGTGTAATGAAAATGAAGAATGCTCTGTAACACAAATAACTGAACAATTAACAATTTGCTACAATAAAGCCCAATAATATATCAAAACATGTGATGTTAGTGAACATTCTTCACAACAATTTTTGAAGACTACATGAAAAGAAAATGGGCGTAGAAAATCACTTATTTTGTAATTTTATAGCATGAATTTCTTTAATAAATCAGTCCCATTTTCTTCTAAATTATGCCACTCCAATAGTTTAATCAGTGTGGAGATTGTAAGTAGCTAGTTAATTGGTAGAGACACCACGAAATGTATAAATTTTCACAACTGTGGACTTTGATTTGATATTATAAATAGTTTTAAAAAAATCTTTGAATGCATTTACGTATTATACAAGTAGACTCCCAATCGCCTAACAAAAGTGCATCAAAAAAGTCCGACCCGGTTTGTGTTATACACATACATCAACGTATACAGATAGCATTAACACATTTGTTTAAATTGATGCGTTATGTTTCGTGGCAGTAAGATTCAACGTCAATTAATCAATTGCATACGAGAGAGAAAGAGAGTTTGATGACCATAGAGGTATAAGAATAGAGTAGGGGAGATATAGACTCCACTACAAGTGGAAGTGTCCTCTAATAGAAAGAGAAAGAAGATGAGAGACCGCTAGCTCTCTCTCTCTCTAATCGCGCATGCGCATTGGCAACCGTAAGCATCTTACATGGTGACATCTAACATATTTCGATGTGATGCCATTGGATGCCATGCACCACAAGAGAGAGATCGCTAGCGGTCTCCCATCTTATTTCTCTTTCTACTAGATGGACACTTTTAAAACCGCCTTCCACACTCTATTCTTATACTTCTATGTTGATGACCAGAGGCGGCGTAAGGCGTGGGCGACGTGGGCCACCGCCTACAAGGGTACAAGGGTACGCGGTACAAGGGGCCTCGCGCCTCAAAAATTATTATGCATTGCTTAAAAGCGAATTTCTTTTTTTTTTATTATTTTATAAAATCCGTCTTCATGCCGCCATAGAACAGGGCCTCACAAAATCTGTCTTGTCCACATCAAATTTAGATCTTGCCCCGCCACTGTTGATGACGGTGCGAAAGAGACATACACGAACTCGGAACGCGGGGGACGCAAACGGGGAATTATATTTTCCCACTAAAACGCCAAGATAGTTGCGTAATTTTATTACTTAATGCGTAATTCTATTAAAGGGGCACTTAGCTGAAATACGATACTCCACGTTTCTTATGTGTGAGCACAGTTTTTAACCAAACACGATTGCGTGGTGATGCAATTAAAGCGCGGTAGAAACAACACTGTTTGAAAATTACGATCAATAGATGCGCGTGCGCGTAATTTTGCTTTCTACACTTTTTGAGCGCGATTGTGAGTCTACTTGTTTTTATTCGGTAATGTGTTTATCAGATTTTTTTGTGATATATTTAAATAAAGTTCACAGTTTCTAAAGGATCAAAGCAGTCACTCACCATCGATGGTGTCTGTCTGGTCTGGGTGTGGTTGTAGCATTGGTTCATTCTCGTTGCACTCGTTGCTGAGGTTACTCTGAGTCAACATCGATGCCATATCTGCCACCCCCATACCCTGGAAGTTATGAAGAATTAAAATGTACAATACAACTACTATTAATAAACGAAAAATAAGCTTGGATTAGTTACTCCATGTTTTGCTTCTGTTCATTGAATGACAAATGGCATCTGAGTGATAAGATGTCTTGGGCAATGATATTAAATACCCTCGATAGAACAACACATACACAATCGTGGTCGAAACCTGTCCAAAAGGTACTTTGGACGATTCCGATGTTTTCGGCCACGATTTTGTTCTCCACGGAGCTCCGTAAGGTGATCGCGTTGTCAAAAACAATATAAGACATAATTTAAACATTGAAAGTCGCCTTTAATACATACTGTGTAGGGTCTTAATTAAAACGCATGCGTCAAGTAATGATTGTTCGAAATGCAACCTCGTAATTTTTTACGACTTATTGCTATATGCGGAAGAATAAAGACCTTATTTATTTACTCTACGTGCAATTTTGAATGCGCTGTTAACAATATAGCAGGTACGGATCGCGAGGAAAAGAGACGGCTATATAACCCGCATGCATTTAAATATTACAAATATTTTTTATTAAATAAGTTTATAGTAACTATTTTGACTAGATACCTGTCGAAAAAACGATACTTCCTATAAGTATTTATTTGTATTTTTTCACGGAGCTCTGGGGCATCTCGACTTTACAACGATTCGCGTGTGACTGTGAACCAAGAACTATTTGAGTGCAGTTCAAGCACTTCTTGATTGGGATACATTTTGTGCGTACGTGGTATATCTAGGGTGCGTGCCGCGACCTGTATCTTGAGAATCGGCTGAAGTAGCTAACCATCTAAATTACACATGTCTGGCAGATAAAGGTGCATAATTATAATATTTATATAGTTCGTCTCGTCTAAGTGCGACAACGGTTGCAAATCGGGTTTTGAATTTTACGGAAGCGGCTACGCGCATTGGGCAAGCTGCGTATCTGTTATTATGACAGCAGTGCGACCAACGCTGTTGTGGGTCTGGTCGAAGTGTGTTCGAGCAGTGGCGGCGTCAAACCGCCAGGCTTAAGTTCTCCTACGTACGCATGCGCGAGCAGTCTGCGTATCTAATATTATCACCGTACGAGTCCGGCTCCTGCTTCACGTGTGGTGTGTTTCATCCTTATCTCACACCTGCGTGACGAAGCGTCGGGTGGCTCTGGTACTTATAACCGCTAAAATTAGCGTTCGAATTAGGTGCGCTCCTTCAGCTGCATATTCAATTTTTTAAGTTTTCCACAACCTCTTTGTGCGTGTCAGTAACCAGTCAAGCTCAAAAGATAAGTTAAATTTTTTTTATTAAGTACTAAAGGCTCCCGAAGCTTCGTTGAGCAGGTGCGGGACAAGCAACAGTGACCGTGAGGTGCGTCTGGTCGAAGTGTGGCGGCGGCGCGTACGCGCCCAGCTCCTACTTTACGTGCGGCGTGCGAGTGTGCGTGTAATTGTGTATGTGAGGGGGGAGAGGGGGGTGGCGACGACACTAACCGTGAGGTGAGTCTGGTCAAAGTGGGGTGGCGGATGGTGCGGCGGCGGCGGGGGCGGGTGCGCGAGCGGCGGCGGGGGCGGCGCGTACGCGTCCGGTTCCTGCTTTACGTGCGGCGTGTGCGCGGGCGAGCGCGGCGTGAGGCGCTGCGGAGTGTGCGCCGGAGGCGGCGTCGACGGCTCCGACCCGGACCCCGTTGACCCGCCCTTCACTGACTTTAGGTGACCCTGTTGCGTACCAATTATTTATCACCATAACTATAACACAATATTAAATACGAGTTGAATCAACTACATCTTTATAAGTATTTATTTAGCCCGCCTTAAGATTTAAGAATAATAATTACCAATTATTTTAAAATACATATTAGTCATAAACAATGAAATTTCTAAAATAGATCTCATCACTCAAAAAAGAGCAAGTTTGTAAACAATATCTTAAAAAACAAATTAATGAATGTGCAATTACAATGCAGAATAAAACTTTATATAAGTTGTTAATCTTACATCCTACTGACCTAAAAATGTAACACAACAAATATAGTTTTTTAACCACATACTTAAAACAACTTCTGTAGATGTTATCTTGTGTAATAACCATCTAATTTTGGCGGTATACATTATTTATTACACAGAATAAAATAAAGCCATCAAATGTTAAGTCTGGGCAAGGAGGAGATTTTTCTGCGCCTCTTGTCCGGTGGCAAACTATGCCCAGTGTGATGCGCGCGAGCATTGCGCAGTGCGACACATCAAATAGAACCTAGCTTACCTCATAATGCCTGTAGGTTAAGTCGAGGTCGTCCCTGGGCACGGCGGAGTTTTTTCTGCGCCTCTTCTCCGGTGGCAAGCTGTGGGGCACGTGTTGGGGAAGCGCGGGCACGGCGGGCAACGGCGTGAGGGGGGCGGGCGGGGCGCAGTGCGCCGCCGGGGGAGTCGCGAACGATTCCGCGCGCGACGATAAATTCTCCGCGCTCACTGACGGAGTCGAACGCTCTTCCACCTGCGAACGATGATGGGAGATCTTCCAATAACTTTTTTTTGTGTCGTGTATAATAGCGGCACGTGACGTACTTTATTAAGGAACAATCCTCATATTCACGCTGTAGTAAAAAGTGATTAATATATAATTTATACAAAAATTAACATTAATTTTATGATTACTAATTAGAGACCGTTTTGATTACTACGATAACTTAAACATTTCTTGAACTAAAAATACTGTTGAAATGGTAACAATTCTTACCTTAGGATTCAATGTATTGTTTTCTGTCAAACCTCTTACTTGTAAACTTTCAGCAGTTTTTAGGAACATCGGAAGCATATTTTGGCCAACATTCACCTCACCCTAAAAATAAATAAAACGTTATTTCCTATACACTACATATATATAAAATCCACGTCGGTTGGCAGTGCAAAGACGCTACAAAGAATATCACTATACAAGCACTATACAATCCCGAATTAGAGCTTACGCAGCGTTAAGCGCGGCAAGGAGCGGGCGTCCTTCGGCGTAGGTATTTGTTTCATAGACCCGCCTCACGCGGCGCAGGAGGCAGGGCACGCTCGATTGGATTACTTCTGTGCTTTCGTCCGCGTTCTCTTTTAACTTGGTAGTATTATCAACAAAAATAATCCATAATTGACTGTTCACCCGCGCAATCGAAATTGTACTGCACTGCGAGAGGTACCCGCCTCTCGAGGGTCCCGTGACGGGGCACGGAGCATTTCTCCGGGACGGACGTGCGCTCCGTGTTGTCGCTTAAGGCAGCGCACGCCGTTATAGTTAAGGACTAATTAAAAATGGGTCATGTTCAATAAAGATGGGGTGCCATTCATTAACTTATTTATTGATAGACTTTTTCTTTCTGTATTATGGAAAAGCTGGTGTATTCTATATTCCTCTATCGCTTCTAGTAAGCATTCAAGCAAGTTTAATATTATTTACTAATAATTCCTTAAAAATAATTATTATGTACCTTTACTTTTATTTTTTGAAATATTGAAGACTTATCTGGCATTGCTTATTAATTTAATGAAAAAGATAATTACGGATTGGATTAAAGTATTACTTTACCTTATACATGAAGTCTAATAATGACTTCATCTCTGAATATCGTACATCCTTGAGGAATATTATCGGGTGTGGATGTGAGTTTTGTAGGAATATACTTTCAAAATATGGAGAGCATGCTGATAATATTGTTTGATGAGCCTAAAAATAAAAAATACAATAATAAAAAAATTATATCGAAATTTTAAATAAATCATTTGTACACAAATTTCAATTTACTTTAATCACAGGCAACAAAATAAGGTGTTAAAGATGGAAAATCTACTTTAATTTTTTGCCGTTATTGTAGCAGGGTTAGTTATTGTATTCTGACGCATTTAAATATGAGCTATTCTAATTTTATAAAAGCCACCAGGATATTATTTTTACCGATAAAAAATATATTATTTGAATAATTAAAAGGATTTTTTTTATGTTGTAGCCTTTTGAATGAAATTGAATGAAACAGTGTATTCGTGAAGGTCTCGCCAAATATGTTATCATTACATTGTAAAATAGCCTAGCTACTATTTCAAGTAGACTTATTGTCATTGTAATTAGTAGGTAAGTTGTAGTTTTTCCTAAATAGGTTTGAAATATTGTATTGGCATCTACACAACGGCGACATAACCGAGCAGTAAAATATTATTTCTTATGTATAATGATTTATTATAGGAAACTTATATTTGCAGTGGCTAGCGTATTTCGTAGGTTATTTATAATTCGGTCTATCTAAATTAATCATTCACAGATTATTGAAAACAAAACAAAAGCTACAATAAAAAAAAGCCTAAATACTCAGTATCTTTTGTTAATCACTTCCTATGAAAAGTATAAATATATTAAACAATAATAACTCCTACTACTGGTCCTGATAAATGATGAACAAAACAATATTTTTTGCAGTGATTCTTCTCTTTAACAATAAATAAATAATGACGATATGACAACGATACCTACAAATTTATTTACTTAGGATTTTTGTCACATAATATTTATTTTTTATAGCAAATAAAATAGTTTTAGCACTTTGACACTTTGGAACTTTTGGATAACAAAAATGGACTAATATCGAACTAAGTATGAATCCACGCTGAATCATCATTAAGGTCGTGGTCGTAATATTCAATTACCATATGCTGTTGTACACTTTCTCCTAAGGTCTACGGTGCAATTATCACGGACAATAGCAAAAGCAATGGCTATACCTAAATATTGGTACTCACACTTAAAATAACGATGTCATACCTACTTTAACAGCCGTAATCGCATCATCTTAAAATTACACGATAATTATGTCCGAGGGGCTGATTATAAAACGTTATTAAGGAATCTAGTGCCAAAATTTCAATAACAGTTGGTTCCTTTCTACACAAACGAAAGCCATCGGTTACAAAAAAAGAACTGCGAAAGTACTCATTTTAAAGATTAAAAGGAAATGCACAAGTGTAAGTGAAAACGGGTACGACGATTGAAGAAAAAATGATATTGCAACATTCTTTAATAATTTTGCCTAAATTGTGTCAACATTAAAACTTTACTAAGCTATCAATATATTGTGTTAAAGACGTAGATACTTCTCATGTATAATAAAATCTAGGTAAAAAAGTGATCATTCCTGTTCTTCTATGTTTTAAATATGCATTTATTTATGACCGACTGCTCTAAAGGTTCATAATCTAAATATAAAAGTATAGGTCTAAGGTCTTCTTAAATTTATTCGAGGTCAGACAGTCGTCATTTAATTTCGACAGATTCTGCAAACATAAAGACCTAATTATCTTATTCATTAAATTTGGAACTTTGTTTTCTACTTGTAAGGTCGCTTGCGAGTGATTGAGACGCTGCCAATGCGAAAAAAATATTAACAGCGAAAAATGAAATAAATAATGAAATCTTGCAAACTGCTAAATATACAGTACTAATGTTTATAAATAACGTTGAAATCGAAATATTTTGTAATCCCGTGACCGATATGGTTTTACTAACTGGATTAAGTTCAACTGTTTCTGTGCGCCTTAAATAATCCCTACTAATATTTTAAATGCAAAAGGGTGTCTTCCTGTCTGTCTGTTACCTCTTCACACTTAAATAACTGAACCAATTTTGATGATTTTTTTTGATAATTTCGGGTCTTGGGGAAGCCATGAGAACAATTCTGTTGTTATCTCAGAAATCATCCTTTAAAAAGGAGATAAAGATCGTTTTAGCAAGAGTCTGGTGCCTAGGTCGAATTTTAATTGTTTAGGAGTCATTATGATGAAACTTGGTAACTACATTTCAGAATGGGTAGGTAAGCTAGTGACAATTTATTGTAATCACACTTATTACCGGGATTAAGGCTAAAATATTTACATTACAATAACTAAAAATGCTCTTCCGCGCGTCTAAGTTACCTAAGGAACCATTTAAAATATTTACAATATCAAGTTTCAATGTGTTTTATGTAGACGGAAATATAAAATTTGTTTTTTTAAGATTCCACACCACAATTTATTCAATGGTCTAGTCTAGACCCTAAAACCTGCCAAACTACTGCCATAAAAATTAGAAAGTTAGACAACATGCAGCTCATCTGTAGACTCCTTTCAACCTACAAAACAAATTGCATTTTATTAGCATAAGAGTTTAACTTTCATAATTGTTGAATTTAAATGCCAAAGGAAATGGCCAGAGGTGTTATTGACCTTTAAATTTTATAACTGTACATCGTACGGTCCTAACGTATAAATACGATAAGGGACAATATTCAATCTCGTTCACTCGAACTTGCTATGGCAAGGATCGAACGTTAAATCTCTAACTAATAACTTAATGAACATACTTGGTAGCTAGGTATGTTGTTCCGTTACAAAACATTATTCGCAGTATAAACGCCGCATTTTATGCCGTTGTCTGTAAACTCGGTTATCATTAAACTATATACACAAGGAATCTAACGAATTTTATACATTTCTCCACAAATAGTTTTGAGGTAATATATAGAAAAATTGGTACTAAAAGAATAAAATCGAAAACTGACCGAATTCTCTTTCTAGGATTGGAAAAGTGTTTTCGGGCACTGGACATTGGCTAAATCTTGCAGGAGACATCACAGAAGAAATATTATATTATGTGTTGATAATACATATAGAACACATATAATATGCTTTATATGAGGATATCTAACCCGAAAATCTAATGCACAAGTTAAAAATGTATACTAGCTTTCGGCTCGCGGCCTCGTACCCATGGTCAGAATTTCCGCAATTTTGTTTTTTTCCTATTCTCGTGGGGTATTATAAATTAGTATACATTAATCAATATTACAAACTTTTAATGCTACTTGATTATTCTCGGGTTTAATAAATAGACCCCGTGTGTATTGTTTTTAAAACCAGCAATGAAAGGACTGCCGTGTATTGGCCACCTACGTGATTCTAGCAGAATTTGAGGCAGTCACAATATTGCCAAAGGAGACGAGTTTCTCTATAAACTTTCAGCCCCATTTTAGCCTCAACACAGGAGATTTGTGTATGTTATATTTGACGTCTTTTACTCATAATCGGGTAGATTCATCATATAAAAATTATTACTTTTTTTTACTTTTACTTAATGTTTATTTATAATATTACGAAGAAAAACTTTAGTACCCTCTTTTAAGCACATTTTCCTCATGGAGAAGTGTGAAATTTTGCATAATAAAAGTTTATGGAGAAGTACAGTAAGCTAATATTTTTATATACATACATATACTTTACGCATACAATGACTATTTTATCAAAGTCAAGAACTCCTTGACAGAAGAGCTAAAATGGACGAATTGCGGCCAGTTTTCGACCACTAGTAAGTACCATTTGAAGGTGGTTTTTGGTAACAAAGTATACTAACACCAGATTGAAATTCAGTGATCTCGGATCCATCAGCTTTATTTCCTAATACTTTATCAATTGTTATTCTTGTCTCTACTCTTTCCATAAAGATTGATAAACTCAAAAACAATCAAGCAACCGTGTCAGCGCATAGTACATTTTGTATACCTTATTTCACATTTTTTTTTATTTTTACATTGCCATAACATGTTTAAAATTTTATATTTATTCATATTTGTTTTGTATTGAAATTAATGTAATTATCAAAATTTTATAAGATTTAATTGCTAGTTAAGTGTGAATTGCATGTCGTAATCGCCTATAATTAAAGTTTCACTAATAAAGTGTCGTACTATAAATGTGTAACTAATAAATGTCAAGTGTAACTTTGTTGGTGATCAAATAAATACATAAATAGATAAATTAACCAATTTATTCAGTTTCTTTTACTACATGATGATTTATCAACAATCAAGCAAATGTGTGCAGTAATTTAATTAATATAACTTTAATTGATATTTGTATGTACATGGAGATAATTTAAACTAATTTGTAAAAAATATTAAAAATTAAATTTTCTATTTGCATATAATTTTATAGTAGTTTGGTTAGCTATCTTTTTTATTTTATCTAGTTTAAAAATATTTATTAGTTTAATATATTTAGCTTGAAATGATATACCACAAATTAAGGATAGAGCCACTATTTGCAATATTTATTTTGTTGAATCGTTTTAATATTTTCAAATGTAATTGTTTGATTTAATATGCAAAAACTGACAATTACATCAACTATAATAATAATGAAACAATGCAGAAATTTTTTTTTATCATATGTAATCTGATTACTACTACTCTCTACAATTTGTTTATCACAATAATTAAACAATTGAATGGTTGCACCACTTATAACATTAATGTTTACAAACATTGCACCTAAAGAGTAGTAAATGCAACAGGTGACAAGAACTTTTTGCTATATAATTGTTTCACTATATACTTTGCCACTTTATATTACACAACCAGGAAAGTTGTTATATTACAGGACCACAAATTGATATACTTAAAGTGGTCTGCCCCCTAAAGAAAGATAAATTTATGTGATAACATCAAGCTAGCACAGACAACAATAATACCAAATATTTTAGAAAACATAAATGAGACTTTTCTGTGTTTTCCAATAAAATAAATAAAGGTTTATTTGATAATTGGGTTTTAATTAAAATAGCAGTCTGTAATCATTTACAAACTTTGAGTATTGTTAGACTGCTCTGCTGATTAACCACAATAATTAATAAATATTTAATGAGCTTGCTGACCTAGTGATATAAAATATACTTAGTTTAAAAGAGCAAGCTATATCAAATTAAAGTAAAAATGTTTATTCCAAATACATATATTAGAAAATATGAATTATTTAATATTTGAACCCAACTATAAAATCCGTGAATCTAGCAAACTCGCAGGTAAATTTAAAACTATGCATACATAAATATACTTTTGTTACAAAATAGTGATATTATATATAGTATCTGTGGCACTATTAGCCACACATCCAAACAGTAAAAAAAGTATAATAATACTCAATTACTGAGATTTATTATCCTACAGATTGACATACCACACTTATTATATAATAAGTGTGATAACAATTAGCATGCACACTGTTCTCATCTTTAGGAAAATATTTCTTTAATGCTGGAGAAGTGAGCATAAACAATGCAATTTAGGCTATGTACCTTTTTAATTTGGTTTTGTATGTCTTAAAAGATTTAAAATTTGTTTCTGTGTGCATCTAAATGTAGGACTATATATATTAATTTTTTAATCAATACTGTGAATATATTACTGTTTATATCAAACATTGTACTAAAATGTCGTCATCATATTGTGTAGTTAAGTATTAAGCAATACAGACAAAAATTGCAATAGGTACCTTCACTGTCTCTCCATCACAGGCCAGTGTTACATCGCACAAGGCCTCTCTTTGTAGCAGGCTCGCAAGCACATCAGTCAGGTTGTTTGGGTGGTTGTTCCAGCGCAAGCAGAATTGCTGGTCCATTGTTGGTGCTAGTGTCAGTGACCGTGCTGCAAATAACATGTCCCTTAACTTGTGCATTTTAACATAGGTAATAATGAGGCTATGCTAGTTTCCATTATATTAATAAAAATATAATTATGTCAATAAACATTGAAAACATACTGATGCACATTGGCATCACCGAGTATTTAAACAAGCGGTAAAAAGAGACGTGCGCTGGTTATCAAATTTACATTAAGATAGAATGTGCAAAAAATTGGCGGCCATAGGGCCTAGATAGGAGAGCGCAGAGATAAGTGACATCAGCGGCTCGAATTAATGGGGGCCGCGGGCAGTGAGCTTACTGTACTCCACATTGACAGTTAGCCCGCCGACACATATCTACTTGTTGCATGGTCCAAACGAGACCCATACATTATGTAATTTAAATCCAGAAGACGCTTGGCGGGGCCACCGACCCTACGGGGCGCGGAAACCTCTAGCCGCTTCTATAAACGAGTTTAAAAAAGTAGTACCGCTCGCCAAAAAAATCGCAACATGCTGACACCGTTATAATCGCCAAGCTGGATGTCCCAGTTGCTAAGTCCACACGCGCGATATCAGGAATCTAAAGATGCACCACTATTTGTTGTTATCACAGACCACGCCGCGTGTCTAGAAATTGGAGACCGAAGATGTACGAAGCATCTAAACGCGTAGTTGTGTCAACTTTGGCTATTCGTAGCGCCATTTGCCGATCCCGTATCACAAAATCTAAGAATTTTATCATCAATCAACTCCAAATTTTCTCCAAGCACAACAATTAATCCACTAACACCATTCGAAATTAACTTTGAAACACTGTATGTCATTATTATCCTAACTCACCATTTGCAAAAATTTTGCCATCACAAACGCCACCCGACCCCTACCTTGCACTGTCTTTTTGACCACACACACATCTCGATTTCCGTGTTCACTCACGGCCTTCGGAATATCTTTCACATCATAATTCGGCCAGTATTCGCAACGCGAACTTCACACGTTTCTCGCTTTACCGCGCTAATTCAAATTTTGCATTCTTCTCCTAGATTGCGTACTAACTTCATTTGTTTTTGTTAACTTCATTAATGCAGGCAAGTAATAAATTCAAATGGAAAAGAAAGGTTTATTCTGCTGTTTTTCAACATTTTGCTAAGAAGTTATCGTATAAATATCAATAAATGTTTTACGAATAGCTAAATTTAGTCGTGAGATACGAAAATGTATTTAAATTTAAAATAATTTTTCAAAAACTAGTTTATTAACAGCTCAGATAAAACATCGTATTTACCTTTTTATTTTCTATTCTATTGTTAATATATATTATTTTTGAACGTTGGCATGGCCTTGACATTATTATCAATTTTTGCACATGGACACACCTGTGTTGTCAGATAACAATGTACAATTTGCCATAATAATAACAGTGGTATCGATTCTGACATGATTCTCTAAACCTAAAAGTGAATTTGACAGTGGCGTATCCTTGTCATTATCTATATAGAATGAAAATAAGAAACTGATGTTAAATTGGGTTTTATGTTTAGAGAATCATGCCAGAATCAACACCACTGGTCGGGATCATACGATCTATGACATTAATTCAAAATAAGGCACATTGGTATCGATTCTGACACGATTCTAACCTAAAGCTAAAGGACAATGGGCAAAAATGTATGGACGCTGCACCCACGTCCGCCACGGCTTAAACTACATTTGTTTTAAAGTTATTATAGTCATGTACATCTGTACCAAAGCGCATCAAATTCCATCTCGGGGGTCTTTAGTTATTTTAAGTTAAATAGGTAGAAGTACTACAACGAACGAACATTAATGAAACAAAGGGAATTAAGACTCTGGTATTATGGGAATACTTCACAAGGTGCAAGGGTGTCCCCTTATGTTATTCTGCCGCGCTAGAGCCCACAAATCACACAAACTTGTCCACGCTTCGGAGAAAACATGATTCCAGTTCTTCCATACTAATTGACAAAACCGATAATCATGTTCCAATGTCCAAAGCGAGTTAGATAAAAATCAATCAAGTGACAGGAAGCGTACAATCACAACGAAGTAAGACATGTCGACTATTTGCAACTGCAAGTCCTTCAACCCCCGTAAATTGTTTTGAGATGCCTCATTAAGTTCAAGCGCAGGATGGTCGGCAGGCTTTGTCGTATATCTGGTTGTATAGTACGATATGGCATATTATTATGGTTACTAATAATATAAAATGAAGATACTATAAAATGAATTTAATTAGCTACTTAAATATGCCCATGTGTCATATCTTTTGTCTACCAGGATATTTATTTACGGTGTCATATCTTTTGACTACCGGGATATTTTTTTTCGGTGTCATAATAAAAAAGGCTAGCTTTTCATAGATCTATCGATCCATACTAATTACATTGTTGGCGGAGCTAGGTGTGTTTTGCCCATTGTCCTTTAACATCAGTCTCTCCGTTTGATTCTGTATAGAGAATTACAATGGATACATTGTTGTCAAATTTAAGTTTAGGTTTTGAGAATCATGCCAGCTTCGGTCCCAGCGTTTATGTTATCCTGTAAAGTAGATTCGAATAAAAGGGGTCATTCACGTTGAAACGGTCGCACTAACATTGTGACACGAGAATTTCATATAAAAGATTTATGCCAATGATACAGATACAATACCAGGTGAACAGCGGTGTACTTATGAGTATTTAGTATCAAATACAAAAATAACGCTTTTCTGTAGCGGTATCACTGCAATGAGTAGGTAATAAGTACTTAAGGCTGCATGAAATATGAAAATACCACAGAAATACTGCGATTGTTAAAGCTATGGCAACATTACTATTTAACTCCTACCAGTGCGCGACGATGCGCTGTTTTGTGCGAATATGGATGCGACTCACTCACACAGATTATGCCACTATGCCACACGTGTGTGTGTGGCACAAGAGACGCATAAGTTGCGCAAAGCGCCATCTGAGAAAATTAGAAGTACTAACCGACCGTCCGTCTGCCAGTTCTTGGTTGCATCAGCTCTCATCAGTCAAGTTGCTAATAATTTCAAATAGATGGCGTTTCCAGTGTAAACAACCGATAGTTAACAGTAGACTGGATGGTAAATTCAATGAACTCCGTAAACTACGCTACGCACGCTAAATAAATGAACTCATTTTCAACGTTATGGTAAGTTTAAAGTATAGTTAACAAATAACCTTACTTCTTTCTAAGCTTTATTTTCGTCATTTATATAATTATTTTTATGATTAATTTATATGATTAATAGATAATTAATTTATATTTTTTGCCAATATTGCAAGAAATTGCTGATTATAAAGATTGAATTAAACGAAAACATAAATATTTACACACGTTCAGGGATCCTATTAGCGATCTTATTAATAAAATCTGTTGAAATTTTAGATTTCAAAAATATAAATGCCGTGTTATGTAGCAATAAGTACATTAATACACTATAATTGTATTGTTAATACTTTTTGTAAACAGTTCGTAATGATAATAACAATTAACAAAATTAATCAATTTACTTTATCTGTTTCTAGATTCTGTTGTTTTTTTACTTGAAAAGTTTTCGTAATTAAAAATATATAAATATATGAATATTTCCAATTCCAACAGCCTAAAGTGCTTACTTTGGGGTTAGCCTGATGCTCACATCAGGCTAACCCCAAAGTAAGCACTTTAGGCTTATGTTGATACTAGGGTAACGGAAAGAATACGTATACTGGTGTACATTTATAAGTGCTACTGTATACAGGACGTCCCACAGCATTGCCACACAGAGGGAAAGTATATTAAATATTGAAGATAGGATATTTAACTGAAAGAAGACATCATTTTATTTATAATAATAAGTATTTAGTTCGTTCAGATTATTTAAAAATAGTCTGCCACAACCGGGAAAAAATGGGTGCGTGTACTTATGTAGGCGCGTGAGAAGTTATCCTTCTTTGGCATCGTTTAAAATTAGTTTTTAATTGCATGCAAATAATTAATTACAATAAATTAATAAAAAGTCTGGAAAAGGACGAAGTCAATAAAGTTCAGTTTTAATTTGAAAAAATAAATAAATAATCAAAATATTCAATTAAAATCGCTACTGAATATAATTTATTAGAACATATGTGATTTGCACTTGTATGAAACTCAAACACGTATTCCGAATATACAAACTAGAAACATGTGGATAAATATTATAAATATGAATACCTATAACTGTTACTTTATTACAAAAAATAAAGATGTGGTTTTTGGTTCTACTACACCAATGGTCAAGAGATGGCGCTGTAGTCTCCTGAATCGCGCTTTGGTTCCGTTGTTCCAGATTAATAAATACTTTTTGTTACTTTATTACAAAAAATAAAGATGTGGTTTTTGGTTCTACTACACCAATGGTCAAGAGATGGCGCTGTAGTCTCCTGAATCGCGCTTTGGTTCCGTTGTTCCAGATTAATAAATACTTTTGATAGGCCTTCACAATGCAGTCGTTAGCACCCACTAAATAGAGATTCTATTTCTATTTTGTTGGTAGATTTTCTTAATGTGCGGTAAACACAAAAGTAACGCATGAAGTTGGTCGCTAAAGCGACCAACTTCATTATGTTAAAATTTTGTGTTACAGTGATGCGCGCGCATCTTAAAATTTCACTCTCATCATTTTTTCATAACGCGCCTAAAGAAGTATAACTTCAATAAAACCTGCGAAATGTAAAAAAAATACACATCACGTATTTTATGATAACCATCGAAAGGGTTAGGTAATCATAAGAATTATTTTTTCCTAAATAACATTATGAATGAGAAAAAGATCATGAAATTAAAATTTTGTTCAGGATATTTCCTCTGACTTTTCTGTGCTTTCAAGAGCTAACATTATCATTTTAAAGTATTTACCATCTAGGAGCTACTTAGTTAATAATACAAGATTTCGTTTTCAAGTTAAATTGAAAAATAAAAATAAAGCAGTACTTATACAAAATGTAGTAGCTACTTGTATGCATTTCTTTGTGAGGTCACAATTAGGTACAATACAATGCGGCTGACTTTTTTGTGGGCTATGAAAAAAATATAGTTTAAGAACCGGCACTACTGTGTATAGAGTTACAAAATGAACTTTGACGTGTTATTTTTTACATTCACCATCCAAAGTTAAGTTTATCGACAGGGAGAGAAATTATTAAAATCGTAAGAATTTGTATACTACAGAACGAAACACATTTTTACCACCTATCTACCAACCTGAAACTGAGTATTATTTCATGACTTAGTTTCCTTTTAAGCTTGGTATTTTATTTTTGGGGTGTCAGGTTTTAAATTCCGCCTGTGTTTGCCCTACCTTACCACCTATTTGCCAACCTGAAGACAAATTGTAAATAATTGAATAAAAATACTATTAAAAAAAACTGAGTATTATTTCATGACTTTCATATAAAGCTAGGTATTGTATTACCTACCAACCTATCTATAAAGAAATTTAAAAGAAATTTATTTTGCCTTAATATGATTAAGTTTACATAGTATGAAAAGAGAAATAAAGGTTTTTTTTTCTTCTTGATGTAAATTCCACCCCGTTTCATGTAGTGGTGGTAACTAAGTTAAGCCCAGACACGAAGGTAGGTAGCTGGTGCAGCAGTTATGAAATACCACACCAGTCTTTCTTACCTTGCCAGCCTGCACAAATGCTTTTTCACGCCTTTTTCTAAAGACCTCGGATCGTAGGAACGGTGGCAAGTGTGCTTGGTTAAAGAATTCCTCTTGCGAATAAGTAGTACGACAAAGAAATCGAAGCGAGGAGAAGGGACCTCCAGTCGCTCCAGCAACCACTTTCTCTACTGTTTGGAAAATGCAGCAGTGGTTTTTTTTACAGAATAGTTTTCATATTTCATGCAGCAGTACAGTCTAGCTTAGGTTTTTTGAGAATACTAGCATACTAGATTATCTAAGTAGGTAGTACAAGACGTTGCTTATCATGCTGCTGCCACTGATAAGGACAATAAGGCATGCAGCACCGCATTCCTTCCCTCTTCCGAGGAATAAATGAAACTTGGTAGTCTTATCATACTAGAAATTGTTTTTTTTTGTATAGAGTTGCCAGGGTTTTCCGTTGCAGCATCACCATTTCGTGTACCCACCGGTGTACTCAATATTATAAAGAGGTAAATTTTGTGAGGTTGTTAGGGAGTCCTTAATTGGATCTACTGAACCGATATTGACCGAAATTTCTTTTGCCAATAGAAAACCTGGTTATTTGTAAGCAATAAAATAGAATACTATGTACCTACAATATTCCTACTTGAGTCTGAATAAATAAATCAAAGGAATAAATAATAAATATTTTAATAGAATTATTATGATATTTAATTTTCAATAAAAAGACTCCACGACATTGTATTTAGCTTGGCTAATGTGTGTGTAGGTAATCGAAAACAAAAGTTTCAAAGCAGACCTTCATTAGAAATTCGCCGGTTGTTGACTAAAACAGTGGCCGTGAACGGGTCGTTGAACTCCGCAATAAATAGGTATGCGAATTTGACCTTCTGCTCTATCATCTGGTGATGATTCGAATTGGGACAAACGTCTGTCTTCCACTTATGAGAGTCTCGTAGGTACTTACTATGTCCTAAATAATTTGTTATTTTATAGGTTCCTTAACTGATGAGATACCTACCTAGACATACATTATACCATTATACCCATTGAAGTAGTAACCGCTAGTTGCTAGCACAAAACAAAATTTACTATACTCCTTTTCGGCATTTATGTAATACTATATGTACTACAAATAATAGGTACATATTAGACCAGGGCCTATAATATTTCTGAGCAAAAAAAATCGGAACAAGAGCAGAAAGACATAACCTAAAATAACTGCGATATATCAAAATAATCGTCTTTTTGGATTTTTATTATTCTCTCATACGAAATTCAGTGAAAACATACCATCTTATGTCCTAAACACGCTCTAATTATTTCGATTCAAAATATTTCATTTTTCCTCAAAATTGCTAGCGTATATAAAAAAGTAACCTTATTTTCAATCGATCTCTCTGAAAACTCTCATCAAATGATTGATTTATAAATAAGTTTGGTGCTCTTTTTGTTCTCTGGAATTACAGAAAATCCTTTTTCTTCTTCTGGATGGATCTGGCTTATATTGTCCATCACTTTCAATTATTAGTATCTGCTCTATCTCTTATTTTTTGAAGTGGAAGCTAAAAACTAACTTCGAAACCAGTTAGATAATATGCACGGAAAGGCACGGTTGGTACTTAGTCGTTGCCTCACCAAACAAAGACACAGCACTCAAATAGGCTAGTTGACCCTTTTTGGAAAAAGGTTTTAAATGGTTAATAAATGTTCTGTTAGACCGAAAAAAAATGTATTGAATTTTTTTGAGACCTGGAAAGCTACAAATCTTTAATTTTAAAATAGACTTTTCTTGGACATACAAAAACCCTGTCGGCCATTTTAGTCTATAGATTGTCTATGCTTTGACGTCAACTGCAGTAAACAAAAACTCGTAAGCACGTAGAAAATAACTTATCTGAGTTTATAATAAAAAAAACAATATTTGTAATAAATACCACGAAAAATTAAGTAATTATCATTATTGTATTGTACGAGAATATAAAAACACATCCTTGAAGACTCCAGGAAAGAAATTAACCTACGCAACTTTATTACACTTATTCATATGTTGTATTAGTTTTATGTTTATTACTACATTGTAATACTAAATTCACTGTACTTACATAGATGCCTTGTCGTTTCTCTGCTACGCAGAGCAGAAATCAGGGTTTGGTGCAAAAAAATTCACCAACCATCAATGCGTCAATTCTTGGCAAATTTGTACTTTCTGTTTTCACAAAGCCGGCATCCATAATTAGTTTTGTCAAAAAACGTAAACGGAAACTTTGCTAAAGTTAAAAGTGTTTTAAGATAAATTTAGCCAGACGAAAGAATCCACCCACAATAACACGCGAATGACATTTAGTTGTTTACTAAAAGAGACGTCACAATCATGGCAGATGCGGCGAACAGCGTTTTTAGTGTTTAAAAAATATAGACTAAAAAATATTTTTTTAAATTAAATTTCTACAGCAATCTTCTGCTTTTATGAAGTGAAATCGATATATTTAGGTTCCTTAGACCAAATACTTTAAGAAATAGACATTTATTTAATACAATTTGACATGAGTCAACTAGCCTATTACGAGCATTTTCCGTTCCGCTGTATTAGTCCTATGTAGAAAAACATTTTCGAAAATAATTCTGATTTTAGCTGTATCCAAAATAACGTTAAAGCTTTATCTACAACTTATTATTAGAATGTTGTGTTTGTGTGAAATATGAAAAAAAAAACTTTTTATTTTAGCATTCGTAGTTAAATTGTAACTTGTTCAACTCCTAATCATGTCTTACCGGTCAAGCCCCTTGCCTAGCATTCATTTTCTTGTTAGAAAAGGAGTTTGGCCGATTCAACTTCATCTCTTTCACTCTTCTTACTCTCGTCCTATACACCTTTTATTTATTTTCTATTTCGTTTCCTCTCGTTTTCCTTTCGCTTCTTATTATTAGTGAACCGACCTCTCCACATTCTCTCTTTCCCAGCCATACGACCTTCCTACGCATCTCGGCGCGGCCTTAGATTCTTATGGGCCTATTCTTCTATAGAGTTCACTACATACACAAAACAACACAACATTTTATCAAGTTTTAATGATGATGATAACGGAATGTTCTTTAGTTTGACACATTTTAATACTAGAGCTGTTTACGTTAGTTTGAACAGGAATTAATTCATCAAAATTTACAAAGGTTTATCTTATTTCCCTAAAAGTATGCATTCTATATAAAGGACTATTGTCCCGAGCGCATGGAGCCGCCAATCGGTTCATTTCGTTTGCGATGATGAGAGTGGCCGATCGTGTCCGTCGGTAATGTAATGCAGTGCAAATGAGTCAATCTCCACGGGCCGGACACTGCCATTAGGAAATCGATTCGTATACTCAACTTCGACATCTACAAATCGCTTGTGATTGGAAAATAATAGACTTGCCACACTTATTAACCATATGAGTACCTCTAAAACCATCCCATTTACAGGTAGGTAATAACTACTGCAAGTAACAAACAGCAAAATTATTTATTATTATACTTGTATTTGTAGGAATACTAGGTATTATGAGTATGATATTATGACGGCAAATAAAGAAACAGATAAGGTAAAAAGATGACCTTGTAGAGAAAATAGCCGAATACGTAGTTGTATCATGACCTAATTATCATTAAAAGGTCTGTTACCTATAATTTTATAAATTGCTCGTCTCAGACGTTATGTTGCTATCCATTAGTAACTGTCTTAGACATCTTTCGTGTAATCTCATAGAGATGAAAAGGGATTGTAATGATATAAGGTCGTAAAGTATCTACTTATTCACTTGATTTTTTATGGTAGGGACTCAATTTTGTAATGAAGAAGCGATTAATACGTAGAAACAGCACAGAAAGTTAGAAAAGGACATAATACTTAAGGATTATACCTTTGACAAACAACGACATGGCCTAATTAATTAGGGTATTAGAAAACTCTTTAAGCTTGGGTAACAAATGTACAATAATTTTATCGGAAGAACTTTTTATTTTAGATTACACACTAAGGCCACGATGTTTGAAACATAGTTAAAATATTAAGGATAAAAAAAAGTCAAATTTTACTATGTTTCAAACTACGTGGCCTTATTGTGTAATCTAAAATAAAAAGATTTAATCATAACGTATATACTTTCTAGCACATTATTGGAGTTAATGGGATTCCATTCCACAACTCGAATGAAATGACGCGGAATGAAAATCTCCTACCTGCGCACTTAGTTTTCCAATCTAAACAATAGGAATTCAACGGGTGCGCGGCCCACGGGACACTGATCTATCTCTATGTAAATTATGCGGCAAATAACACCGACTTGCGTTCATCAGGCGAGGCACGTGGGGCGCCAACCGAGGCGACCGACACAATTCCATAAGTGTTACAACCTCATGCTTCTCTCACATCTGCGCGACGAAGATTCGAGTGGCTTTGGTACTAAATGCGCTAAAATTAACATTCGAAATAGTTATTTATTATACAAGAGTGGAAAGTTCCTTTTTAACCGCGTGCTCGATTTGGATGACCGAGCAAGCGAAGGATTCTAAAGTTGAATCACGAGCGCAGCGAGTGATTCTAAATTAGAATCCTGAGCGTCAGCGAGGGAAACAAACGAGCACAAGGTGAAAAATCTTTCCACTCGAGTGCAATACGTAACTTTTCATCCCACCTCAGCGAGGAAATGACAAAATGAAAAAGAAAACAATTTATAATGACAAAATATTTAAGCAATAAAACGTGAAAAACTAGAATGGCGCGAAGCACGCAAATAAAACAAAGAAACCAAGAAGGTTCCAAATTTAAATTTTTTCACAATTTAAAAAGTTCTAATCATAAATTTGGCACCATAGAGGTTACATTAAATAGGTTTAATGACGTTTTGAATTTACAATTATATTGAGTACTCATTATATGTGATGTTCTAAATTCAAATCTACTTTGCCGCTCAAGCGAATAAAATAGAATTTTCCAGCCAGATTTCGAAGCGCAAAATTACACTTTCCGAGGTGGTGGGATGAAAATTAAATTGCTTTTGCCGTAATGAATTAGCAGGCTGCGTAGATACGCATATAGATATAGACGCTAGACGATAGCTTGATCGGCAATATTTGGACACGCTAAAAGAGGTTGTACAAAACGATAAAATTAGTATGTGCAGCTGAAAGAGTGTACCTATTTAATTCAAAGTTCAAACGCTAGTTTTAGCGTATTTTAATACCAAAGCCAGCCAAAGGTTCGTCGCGCAGTTGTGGGAGAAGCATCATACATAGATCGAGATAGTAACTCTAGTGTTTAGCTATAGTTCACGCGCAAAACAGGCCAAACGCTATTTTATTGCTGCGCGTCACCGTTCTTCATAAGTAGTGCAAATTTCATTTTTAAAATGTCAAATTGTGCCATAATAAGCTGTGAAAACGTTTTTATGCCTCTCCATCACTTGTGAGTAACTATTTAAATTATAACATATATAATTTGTTTAATGCGTCCTCCACTTAAAATAGGCTGTGGTTACAACCAATGAGGCCACGAATAAATTATGTCTTACACATGAAAACCATTCTTATTTTATTTTCCCATCCTTCTAATTTAGACTTACCTAATTAGATAATTCATCTTTATTCGAATGAAGGACCCCGAAATTGCTTCCAGACAAAACCCGTGTATTACACTAAAATAGCATGTTTCCAATCCAGAATTTTATACTTTTTATTTAATTACTCGTTGGTTAACTAAGAAATATTTGCTAAGTGATAAGATATAATGTATAGAGACAGTACAAATGGAATGGGCCAATTGGACTCAGAGGCCGCGTAGAGATACAGCCAGGGAGGTCGCATGGGTGGGGAAGGAGAGAAAGTGTAGAGGACTGATCAGGAACAGTTACAGTGAGAGAAGAAAAGAAGAAATTAAAAGAGGACGCGATATAGGAAATGAATGAATGATAGATAGAGTGAAAAGGATAAAGCCAGTCAAACACCTTTTACTAACGAGAGAATTAATGCTCGTTCAAGAGATCTGGCCCGTTAGTAGTAAACATTACATAAGTAGCTCTTAACTTTTTAAATTATGCGGCGCGGATACTTTTTATGAAGTCTTAAACGTAGTTATCAAATGTACAACAAAGGAATACTCACCGGAATCGTGATGAAGTTATACAGTCGCGTTTGCTGCCGTATTGGTGATGTGTGATGTCGCAGAGCATAAAGACATCGGACATCTTGAATGCTATTTCACCTTGAGTTGCTTTGTAAATTTTCATTTTGAAATCGCTGAGCTTATTTTACACAAAAAGTTGATTTGTTTAAAGTTGTGTACCTTTACTATGGTTTTGTAAGTCTCTATTTGAAATGAAGTGTAAAAAAGAAACTAGGTTATTACTGAAAATAATAAAAGTCTTGTGGATATTTCTTTTATTAACCAGGACATAAAATGGTTTTAGTGATTTAGCTACAGTATAAAAAGTTTGTTTATAAATTACGTTGTACTTTGGGTGCCAGTAGAGTCTAATGTTTTTTGGTGACATTTCACATGGATATTCCAGTTTGCTATTTGTCATTTTGAAAGCAGGTTTGTCATATTGTCCATGAAAGGAAAAGGAGAGACTGTTATCAAATTTATAAATAGCAAACACGAATAGCCACGTGAAATACCGGTATCCCATTAAATTATTTGTCAAATTGTCGTTTCTCAAGCAACATGCCCTTTTTTTTCCCTGGACGACAGGATCAACATCAGTCATTCATACCTAGTCTTAGTAGGTACGTTTACAAATAATTTTGTAAATGTTACATTTCATTCTTTTTAATATACAAAGTTACTTTACATAAATTATTTTTGTAAATTTGCTAAACACTTTTAAATAATAAGAAAAGTTTAGGACTTTCGACTTATAATTATGATATTATGATTTCTAATCGTGATAAGGTGTTGATGGTAAATCATATTTTTGCATTTAGGAACCTTTGGGTCAGTAAAGTTCGTGAGTAGTATGACGTTGTCGTTTTTGGTGTAGGTGTTTATGGTAATATATTCGCATAGCAAAATGTCCCTTCGCAAAGCACGGTGAATCCTGCAAATATAAATAAATAAGAATTAGAAATAACACAAAAAAAACAAAATACGTAATAACAACATTAGTAACAAAAAAAAACGGGCTAAAGAAATGCGAAAAGAGATAAGATTTAGGATTGATTTTCCTGGTAATTTGCATAGTATATCCATTTTACGAATGGGTACCTACCACATGAATATCCTTTATTCATTTCCAAATCTTAAGCTGACTATATCAGTTTATTTGAACCGTTTCTCCAATAGGACACATTTCAAATTCAACTCGTCAGAGCTAAGAGAATATGCAAGTTCGATGTTTTAGTTGAATGGACATTGTCTAAATAGCCTACGGCACAACGCGATTATTCAAAACAGGCGCAGTAACTCGAATTAGTAACGTATGCAGATGTATCTACCCCGTGCTAAGCTTTAGATTAGTTACGGTTTGTTTACAATCTACGTGGTCGAGTCACCTGATTGATAAAATTAGACCAATCCCATTTCATTTATTTAATTTCCGATACAATTAAGAGTTTTCTTTTGTGCATTATGTTATATATTATAATGTACATTTAACAATAAGAACCTACTTATATTATACATATATTTTTTCAATAACGACCTTAATTTTGGTATAAACTAGTTTCCATAGTTTTCAATGAAATTTAATCAGTTACATACCAGTTTATTGGATGAGAAGGAAAAACAATATGAAGGGAGATTATAGTGATTCTTAAAACTCATTTTTACGTTAGATGGACGCATAATGAGTTAATAATATAATTTATTGACGGTCTACCTATCGATGTGGTCTTATTATTAGTAAAACTTGTTAGCCATTGCATTAGTAGAATAGGAAAAATGACGGGGTAAAGCCAACAAATTTATAGTTAGTCCGTCAGATTATCAAAACATAATGGACATTTATTTTTTCTTTTGTCAATCAAAAAAAAAATCACAAAGATGTTGATGATGTGAAAGTTTGTAAGTGGGGTCTCGTGGCGTCACTTCTTAGTATTTTTTTAGGAAAACACATATATAAAGAATATGTGAAAAAATGTGTCCAATACTCTTTGATAATCTACCTGAGAGATGAAGAAAAAAAGTTATTTGCAGTTTCAGGTGAGTAGAACCACGTGATACCGGGACACGTGAAAGCCGATTTATCTTTTTTATTAGCAAGAGAAGGTCATTGTCAGCAACAAATGATTAATCAATATAGCATAGTGCAATTTCCGTAATATTTGCTTAAAACGCTTCATTACGTCCTAGGCTAACACATGGATTAACCTCTCGTTGCATTAATCTATAAAGCCTAAGCTAAACGGCGAATATAATGTTACTTTATTAGCAACTTTAGTATAAAGTGATAAATACGATTTTTCAAATGCAAGTGTTACCAATGTGTTTAGGTCGACTGTACGTGCAAAGTAGGCCTGTAAACATAATTTTCAAGCAAGGGTGGCAGCCGCTGTGCCATCCCCATCTCACAGAATGGATATTGTTTATTGACGTGTAAGTACTCTTTTGTACTGATGATTGGCTCTTCAAGCCTATTAAAAGATTAGTAGAGCATGAATTACTTTTATTTTTATAGTAGTTTTTTACCGTGTGCATTGATCTAATTAGCGTTTCATCAAAATATTGAATGTTTTTTTTTTATATGTAAGGTGGTTTATAATATATTAATTGTAAAATCAATGTTAAATGAAACATAAATTGTAAAAAAATAACAGTGAAAAATAAAAGAACTCATGTTATTGAAATTCGCAAAGTAGCCCCAGTAATAAACGAAAGTAGCCACATCAACTCACCTTTAGTAGTTAAATTCATCCGTGCCTCTTCACCGCTTGCACCCAATCAGCACCGATTTATGCTGGCTGCGGGCTTATTAATTTTGGTATGCCGGCTAATTACCCTGCGAATTTGCGAAGTACTCACTCAAGTGTCAAGAGTTATACTTGTGTGTGCGTTTGTAGAGTTCAACGTAACCTAGACAGTGGATTCAAGTGCCACTCGATTCGATTGAGCCACCTCTTCGTTACATCGAATACTAGGAGAGCATAAAGCTCGAGTAGGGCCCCACGCTACTCATACATACATAGAACGAGTATGCCGTGTGAACAGGTTGGGCTGTGTCGGTGTAAGTTTGTTAGTGTGAATCTCCCTTCAGTGACGTAACATCCGCGCTCAAGTTAGCGTTTGTTTGCCATGTTTCCGCATAGTTTGAATGAAAAGTAGTTTGTGCGCTTCTCAACCGTTTTGTAAAGCTAACAAAATGTAGGTGATGATAGTATTGCAAGTGTATGTAAATTGTTGTACTGTTGCTCTCCGTACGTTTGTTCTATGTAGGTGGCCGGTCGTTATCTGAAAAGAGGAAAAATATCATATTAAAATTATTTTTTCACGTTTTATAGAGTTATTTCGTTTGGTTCAAAATTGTCAATAACTTGTTTCGAGCATATTTAAGAAGACTTAAGTTGTTCTTATTAAAATTGCTTAATTTAAAATGTACAGTTGGACCGAAGTAATACATCTATAATATAAAAATGAATCGCTGAATGTGTTGCTAAACGCAAATCTGGAGAACAGCTGAACCGATTTCGATAATTCTTTTTTTAGAATATTCCTTGAACTACTAGGATGGTTCTTACGCAGAGATAAATAATAATTTAATAATTGCCTGAAAAAGTTCAAAAGCAACACTTTTCTATACTCCCATACAAACGATTCGTAATAGGTAATACTTAAAAGTCAATTTGAACTTTCCATAAATTACCACTTACTTACTTACCATAAATTTCAAATATTAGTGAAGAGGTTGCGGGAAGGCAAAACAATTGAGTGACGTGATGTCAATAGAAGTTTAGAAAAGGCAAATATACCATTTTCAGTTTTTTTTAATCATATGAAGAGTCATTTTAGTCTACGCTACAGCTCTACACTGAAGCGAAGCGAGGACGGGCCACTAGTAATAAAGTAAAAGTATGTAGTTTATACGCAAACCATTTTACAATACAAAATAGTTTACGTCAATAATTTAGACTAATAAAAACATAATATGGTTGAACCTTCATTTTAATCAGGACATTGCTTGTACTGGGATGGGAGGGTCTTCCGTAGTATGGTTACATAAAGGTCACTTGATTAAATGTTTCGGGTTGACTTTCTTTCCTTAATATTAATAATAAATAATAATAGAAACGTTTATTTGGCACAAATTACAAAAATAACTTATTGTGTTACATATAGGTGATTGTATACCAAACAGGCCACTGCTCAGTATATGTCGAGGCAAGATGTGCCACGACTCTGATTTTCAGCAGCAGCCTACTTAAATTAAATGACATTTAAGGTCATCGGTAATAATTTTTATTAAATGACATTTAAGGTTACAACTTTTGCACATCCAATAAATATTTCCTGTATTTAACTTCCTTCCTTTCTATTGTAGATGTTTTTTTAACCGACTTCAAAAAAGAGTATCAAAAAGGAGTATATTGTTGTTCGTGCCTTTCTCCGAAGTAAGTGAATCAATTTTGATAAATCTTTTTTTGTTATAAAGAATTTCTTAGCGAGATGGTCCTATATTAATTTGGTGAAGATTTGATGAGTACTTTTGGAGATACACGGAACTCCTCATAAAAAAACTGTACACGTGTTTGGTTATTTTACGAAATATAAAAGAGAGATTGCAGCCCAGGCACCTATACTTAGTAAGTTCATGTTTTGTAAAAAGTGAAAATTAAAATACAACTTTATAAAAACAAAACCATTAAAAAATCAAGAGTAATAAATACATTTTCTTTAGTCAAATTTAATGTTTGGAGTCTGTGCCATGCTTGTCTGATATATATGAGTTCCATTTTACTACTTGGGTTACAATAGCACCGACACCAAATCCAATTTTTTCTTAAGAAAATGTATAATTTTTAAAGTTTTAGTGTTTTTTTTATAAAGTTGGTTTTTATTTTTCTCAAACTGGTTCTTACAGCTTTTGTTTGCTATGCTTTTACAACTTTTTTAAAGAACCTTCTTATAACGATTTCTGTCAATTTCCTTTCCCTTAACGTTCTTTAAAGGTCATTAATTAATTTAAAAAAAATATATATTATAGCAAAGAATATTAATTTTAGAAACTGAATTCTACTAACCGAAGTCAAACAAACTGTTTGACTTCGCTTAGTAGTGTAAGCGAGGTTACATTTTTAGAAGTTTAGCGAGGAAGAATTGGTTGGACTGAAGTACCTTACATAATTCAGAAGTTAGAAACTACTCCACGTTCATAAAATTATTGAAATTTTCATATCACATGTAATGTAATACTATCTAATATTTTAGATCTATTCAATAGAACAGCCAATTCAAAGTCTAACCTAAAAGCTAAATACAGCTTCCATTAACAACATCGCTTCTTAGTTTCTTTGTTGTGAAGTGTCACCTCTACAACGTACGCTACACAATATTGACTAAGCTTATCACGTGTGGGACAATAAACCTCTTTGGATATTGTTTTTTCTTTTGTATCAGCAAGGTAATTTGTGGACGTGTGGGTTTAATTGATAAGTATCAAATATCGAAGATGTA